TCATCCTGCTCTCTCTTATGCTGGACCAGAACGGACAAAAGATAGATCAAGATTATCTAATCAATCTCTAGGCAATTTTAAAAAAACGTGCACAGGTTTCTGACTCCCTGTTGCTGAACAGCACCAACTAAAAATCTGTCATTTCTTTCTTTCTCTCCTTTTTTATCTTAGGCTGTTCTGATTAAGAAAGCTTGGAGGTGAAAAGCAAGAGTGGTTTTCCATGAAAAAAAAATGTAAAATATGTCAGGAATTTGCCCAAACAAGTTCTTAAAACATGCTTGCAACCCTGTGCAATCACTGTGGAGGCATGAGGTTTGACTATTAGGTTACTGAGAAAAATAGTGCACACACAACTAGATCGATCCAGCCATAATTTTGTGAAGGCCCCTTCACACCACACCATTCTCACAATGTCCGGTCATATTGTGGTTTAGTCAACAGCACCCACGAAGAGATTGCTCAGAGAAAAGGCAACTAAACTAAATGAACAGTTATTATCATCAGTTATTAAATCATTTTGTTGCCTGAAGTAAAGGACACGATGACATCCATTCCACACCCTGACGCTTACTGAAGCAATGGCTCATGGGGCTTAGGATCAGTCATGGAAAACACACGGCTGGGGAGCAAGGAAAGAAAAGCCAAGAGGGGCTGCTGCTATCCCGCCCCGCCCCCTGCAACGGACCACCTGGGGCACATCCTTCCCTCTATCTAATAGGAAGGCTGGTCCTGCTGCCACAGAGAAGTGGTCCCTGAATTGTAACACCTTCCCTTTCACACAGACGCAAGTCAACGCTGAGAAATGCACACTTCGAAGAAATTCATTCCGAAATGTCCATGGTTTGTCTACGAATATATAAAAACAAACACAAGTAAAAGCATTGTTTGGCAAAAAACCTGAACGTCCAGCACTGCCGGATGCACCTTGCAATATTCTGCTTTTTGGTTCAGTATTTGGCAACCTCTCAAGCTGTCTAGATATAATCCACAGGCAACATAATGAAGCTAAAGCATTTTCTCCCACTTTACTGTAACTGAAGCCTCCACCAACATCTTATATTTTGAGATATAATGCTTTGGAACATGACAGCACGGGGGGGGGGCTTTTATGCCAACACACCCCAGTGGAAATCTAGTAGTAAGTTGCAATTAGAGCAGGCCTATTGAATCAGTGATTTGGTGAGGTGGCTCCTCTGTACGTTCCACTGATTCAATGGGCCTATTCTAGTTGCAACTTATTACTGGATTTCAGGCACGGAACACATGAAGCTGCTTTATAAAAACATAAACTACATAACCCAGTCTCGTCTCTGACCGACAGAATTGTTCTTGAAGGTCTCAAGACAGGGACCCCTTCCCATCACCAGCTCCTTCATGCTTTTAATATTTAAGACAGAATTCATGCACGCATACAATCACAGAGCTATCAGCATCTGCCTGATTGCCAGATCTATTCTCCACAAATTCATCCAATTCCTTTTTTTCAAAATGATCCAAGCTAAACGGCCATTCCTACCACACGCTGTGGTGGTGAATTCCATACGTTAATTAAGCTCTGTGTGAAACAGTACTTCCTTTTAAACCGACCACCAATCCATTTGACAAAGCTGGCCCCGATATGCAGACATAACTGTGGGACCATCTAGACTCAGTTATTGTTCTCTCTGATTTGACAGGAGCTCCCTGGGGTCTGAGCAGAAACGGGTAGAGGGCTTTCTGACTCATGTAACCTCAAATCCTTTAGACTGAAAAGGAGCAACAGCAGCACGTTTCATATTAGTAATGAAGAACACAGCTGGTAATCCCATCTTTCTGCAGAAGCACTATTACACTGAACCATTTTGGGCAGACTTGTAAGCTTTACCTGCAAGTATAGCTCCTGAAGGCCACCAGATAGAATTTTTGGCAAAATGTTGCTGGATTTGGATTTGGGGTGATTAAGGTTTGGGTTTTTCCTGTCGTGATGTATGGAAGTGAGAGCTGGACCATAAAGAAAGCAGACGGATTGTCCAATGAAATCTTTGAATTGTGCTCATGAGAAGAAAAGAGTCCTTGGAAAAAACCTTGATGTTAGGAAGGTGTGATGGCAAGAGGAGAAGGGGACGACCGAGGATGAGATGGCTGGACAGTGTCTGCGAAGCAACCAACATGAACCTGACACAACTCCGGGAGGCAGTAGAAGACAGGAGGGCCTGGCGTGCTCTGGTCCATGGGGTCACGAAGAGTCGGACACGACTAAACGACTAAACAAACACAAGGTTTGGGTTTGCTGAGGAGTCGAACTATTGTGTGGCAGGTGAAACTACCATTCTCGCAATGGGTTGTCCAATGAAATCAAAAAGCCAGGGTGAGTGGGCTAAGCGTATGGATAAAAATTGAAATACATGGGGGAAATACCCTGGTTTCTGTCTGGTATGGGCCCATATTGTGACAGGATCAGGGAAAATATCAAAAATATAAGAGAAAAGTGGGGCGGGGGGGAAAAAACATTACCAAAGGAAAGGACCACAACAGACCAAAATACTTCTGTGAAGATAGCACAATGTCCGTGAAGAGAAGTGATGGGGGAATAATTTGGGTTGACTGAAGGACATTAAGTCAGACTAAACTGAGAGGGAGACAGGGTTAAATGGTGAAAGGACACATGCATACATTTTAAGTGTGCTATTTCACCAATGGAACAAAACTGAGTACATCAACACAAAATGAAGTGGCAGAATCCTAACAATAAAGTGAGAGGGAAGCAGAAGAAAAAAAGGGGGGAGAAATGACCCTAGGCTGATAGAAAAAGGGTAAGAAAAATTGAGTAAGATACCCATGCGATGTTTTGGGTTGAGAAAGAAGAATGGCGTGCAAGGAAGCTGAAGGGTGAACATTAAGACATCTAAACTAAGCTGACCTAGTTTTCCAGAGAAGGACAAAGGAACTTTGACACAACATGTTGGGTGTAGGGGTGGGGTTAAGGAAGGGAACTGATAAGCGGGAAGGAAGAATAAAGAACATTTGATCCATCAGCGGAAAGGTATGTAAAGAGAGGAGGATGTGGGTTTCAGTGTAAAATGCAGGGGAGGGGGGCACATGGGCTGACCCCGGGGGATGAAAGGAGGCAGAGAGGATGTCAATGTGGTCAGGATCTTTTAAAGTCAGTGGTGTTTAGGTCGGGAAGAGATCCTAACTTTAGGCCGGAAGGAGGAGCAGAAAAGCAAGAGTCGATGGGCATGGGTGGGGAATGAGGTCTGAGCGGAGGCTGAAAGGGGGGTAGGCGGGCAAGCCCTCAAAGGGGACTGCAAAATGGGTGGGTGGGGTGGGAAGTGCAACAGCCTCCCCCCCAGGGAGAAAGACAAGGAGGGCCCGATTTCCTTTGCAAAGGTGTGCCACGGCTGGCTGGTTACCAGAGGGGAAAATACGGGAGGTGGGGGTAAAAATTGAGAGTGGGAGCAAGCATCATTTGGGGAAACAGGAGCAAAAGGGAGGAGGGTGCCCGTGCAAAACAAGGGGGGGGCGAGATCTTGATCTCAGGCTGAAGGAGGGCAGGAAAAATGCGACCTATTTGGGAGGGGTGTCGCTCCACCTGGATTTTGAAGCTTTGGAGAGGTACATAGGGAGGCAAAGAACAAGGTGGGCGTGAGTGCGAAACATGCACGGGGTGGGGGAGACCCACGACTGGTGTGGGGGAGGGGGCAACACCCCGCCCCCC